TCAGCTGGCCAATCAGAGCAGACTGCGCTTGTCGGAAGGAGGGGCTTTGTAGAAAACGAAGCGTTTGAGAGAGGCGGGGCATAGAGGACCTACAATAATGTACAGTATTTGAAAAATAATGTGTTTTTTGAACATTAAAGCATGTCAGCATATTCTGTTACACCAAATACACAAAATAAGGAGCTTTAAAAAAGCATCATATGACCCCTTTAATTACAAACTTACTTTTCAAGGCTTGAAAGCAAACATATCTCTCTTTTCCCATCCTTAATCATGACTTGCCCCGACAAATGCTGTTAAATCTGATGATTCCAGTATTAGAAACCACATCAAAGATGAGGCTTTATATCACAAACCCCAGGGAATTTAAAGCTGGAACTTGGGAGCTGGAACATGCCTCGGTACTGTATTCAACACAGAGACTCAAACTGGCTGTAAGTTCTAGTAAGCTCTCGATCTGCTGGGTCGGGTCATTGTGTTTGTTTTGAAAGGTAATGGACATTTCAGGGGGGGGGGGGGGGGGACAGTGTGATGCACTTGTGAAGTGTTGGTAGTTAATGTGAAGAAGTATCCCTGGTTATCATACCAGAACACCTGTGTAAACCTGAAGGGAAATGGCTTCGTACATCCACTAAAATAACCTTGTTGCTTTAAAGCAATTGTAAAATAGCTCTGGAAAAAGATACTTGAGAATCCAAATACTTTTGGGGGCTACTAGATGTAAACTATTCCAACTAATAACAGGCTTTTTTTCTCCAAACACACATCTTAAGCTCTCTACTCTGTCTTGACGTTAAGTAACACTCACTGACTCTTTAAGGACTATATATTAATCAGAAGCTTTGTTTATTAATCTGTAACTGTGTGTTTATTACACAAGACAACGAAACGAAGTGCACATTCGTAAGCAAAGCAAAGATATCTTACTTTTCAGGGCTTGAATTAAAGCTTTCCCATCCTTAATCAGCTCCTTGATGAACTTATTGGTCTTCTCTAATTCCAGCTCATGAGACTTCAGCCTCTCTCGGAACTGAGGGCTGTCCACATAGCAGTCGCTGAACTCTAACGCAGGCAGTCCCATACTTCCTCCAGCTCCACAGCCCAGCACAACCGTGTAACGCAATGCAATGCAGATGCAAGTTAAATGCAATTTTAACTAATTATAAAAGGCACAGAAGTAGAAACTACATAGCTGTAGTCGGAAACGGATGCTTTCTACCAAAAAATAAATTAAATAAAAATCACAAATGCATCTTTTCTACAATGCCACTGCGCAAAAAAAAATGTTTTAATTATTTTGCAGCGATCTGTCAATCAAGGGAATCCACAGAAGACCCGTGCGCTTCTCATTACGGCACCGTGATGATAAAACAAAACGCGGTAATTGCGGACTCCTGCTTGGGCGTTTTTAAACGCGTCTGTACCAACCTACCCTGAAGCGGATAATCCTGTGATTGACACGTCGTTCAGCCAATGGCGTTGCGGGATTCCGAAGCGGGCTGTGAACGCGATGCGCACGCTTTGTGTGCGACAGGATAAGAAGGTGATTGGTTAGTTGGCCGGAAGCGATGACGTCACAACAATGCGAGGATTTCATGTCAGTTCATTTCATATGTGATGCACCTTCTGTACAAATGTGTCATTTAGCCTGTTTTTAAATGTAGTGTTTCATCACTGTTCTGGAATGTTGATGCTGAAGTTAATATGAACTCATTTACGCATTAAGGATGTAAAAAAAAAAATAATAATAATAATAATAATAATAAACAATCTTTAGAATCTACTATTAGCCTAACTTTCTTATCCTTGAGACACAATTTTTATTTTCACAAACAAAGGTTTCTTAAGAAAATACCCACTCAGATAGATTTCTTATGTGAAGTAGAACAATCAAATCACTAAGAATAATTCATAATAAAAACATTACTCTTTTTTAAGAAATATGATGAGATCTTTCATGTACCATGACTGATACCTGTTTTGCTGTGACTTTTTTCTCTTCCTTTTGTTTTGTTCCTTCCTTCTTGGTTTATGTGGGAATGATACATTATGCAACATTGATTGTATTTGTGTAATATGTACTTTTGCTGTAAATGCTCTAGATTTCCAAAATGTGTGTTTGCACTATTGTTATGTATTTTAAAAACGTACATTTGTACATGCATATTTTGCGATAAAAAAGTTCCGTTCATACATTTCTCCTACTGTATAAACTGTGTATTAATCCTGAATTAAAAGATCTACTGTAAAAAGCTGCAATTGTTGTCCTAAAGAGCGAATTCTAATTCCAATTTCTAAGATTCCAATTTCTTTTTTGGGTATAAATGAATGTTTATCTATCTATCTATCTGTCTGTCTGTCTATCTGTCTGTCTGTCTATCCTGTCTGTCTGTCTATCTGTCTATCTTGTCTGTCTGTCTATCTGTCTATCCTGTCTGTCTGGCTATCTGTATATCCTGTCTGTCTGTCTATCCTGTCTGTCTGTCTATCTGTCTATCTTGTCTGTCTGTCTATCTGTCTATCCTGTCTGTCTGGCTATCTGTATATCCTGTCTGTCTGTCTATCCTGTCTGTCTGTCTATCTGTCTATCTTGTCTGTCTGTCTATCTGTCTATCCTGTCTGTCTGGCTATCTGTATATCCTGTCTGTCTGTCTATCCTGTCTGTCTGTCTATCTGTCTATCTTGTCTGTCTGTCTATCTGTCTATCCTGTCTGTCTGGCTATCTGTATATCCTGTCTGTCTGTCTATCCTGTCTGTCTGTCTATCTGTCTATCTTGTCTGTCTGTCTATCTGTCTATCCTGTCTGTCTGGCTATCTGTATATCCTGTCTGTCTGTCTATCCTGTCTGTCTGTCTATCTGTCTATCTTGTCTGTCTGTCTATCTGTCTATCCTGTCTGTCTGGCTATCTGTATATCCTGTCTGTCTGTCTATCCTGTCTGTCTGTCTATCTGTCTATCTTGTCTGTCTGTCTATCTGTCTATCCTGTCTGTCTGGCTATCTGTATATCCTGTCTGTCTGTCTATCCTGTCTGTCTGTCTATCTGTCTATCTTGTCTGTCTGTCTATCTGTCTATCCTGTCTGTCTGGCTATCTGTATATCCTGTCTGTCTGTCTATCCTGTCTGTCTGTCTATCTGTCTATCTTGTCTGTCTGTCTATCTGTCTATCCTGTCTGTCTGGCTATCTGTATATCCTGTCTGTCTGTCTATCCTGTCTGTCTGTCTATCTGTCTATCTTGTCTGTCTGTCTATCTGTCTATCCTGTCTGTCTGGCTATCTGTATATCCTGTCTGTCTGTCTATCCTGTCTGTCTGTCTATCTGTCTATCTTGTCTGTCTGTCTATCTGTCTATCCTGTCTGTCTGGCTATCTGTATATCCTGTCTGTCTGTCTATCCTGTCTGTCTGTCTATCTGTCTATCTTGTCTGTCTGTCTATCTGTCTATCCTGTCTGTCTGGCTATCTGTATATCCTGTCTGTCTGTCTATCCTGTCTGTCTGTCTATCTGTCTATCCTGTCTGTCTGTCTATACATCTGTCTATCCTGTCTGTCTGTCTATACAAGAAGTTAACAAGGGCAATGGGTGCCACCAAAATGTAACCCAAACCAACAAAATTGCACCATAAATTTGAAATCTAGGAGCAAAAATGCCCCATAGTATTTTTATAGTATAGTACTCTGCAGAGACAATTTAAGTATAATATAAAGGTTAAAATAAAAAAAGGTTAATTCCTGCCCATACCACTTATCTTTGTAGTTTATGAGCACCAGGTCAGTTGAGAAGTACTGGAAGTCAGTCATAAACTTGGGTTTTCTTTTTGCAACTATCCAGAATTCCTTGCTCCCATTTTGCTCCAGGGTTTGTTCCACTTTTGCTGCAAATATATTTCAGTCAGTCTTGTTCAAACATGTCAGTATCTCTTCAAGCCATTTATTTATACAGCTGAATCAAGAACAAATGCCATACTGCCATTGCTGTTGAGGAAGTTCACTTTGGTGTTGCCATAGTTGCAGAGAAACTAAAAAAAGATACAATTGCATTAATAATTAAATGCTGAAATTGCACCAAAGAGGGGCAGTACATCAAAGAAATGTTGCACTGAGAAAGTTCAACATGGATTTTTTCATGTAACTGGACGAGGCATACATTACATTTGTTGTGCTGTGGGTCCTTTTTTTGCCCTCCCCAAAATACCTAACCCAGTGAAGAGCGATGCTTACGTACAAGATGTATGAATATATTAGTTAAGAGAAACATGTTGAGTGTTGCCCAGTTCCTACTCCCAAATGCCCCTGGCTGATCAATTCTCAAGCTGCACAGTATTGTATCACTTATCAGGCATCACATGAACACCTGCCCCATAGGCATGAGAACCTCAGTGTCATAAGAACGGCCTCTATCGTTTTCATTCCAGCTGGTCTTTCTGCTCATGAATTGGTCCGGCACAACTATCTCTGACATGGACTATACTGCCCCCATGTGTCCGAAAAGAGACATGAATTAAATGAATTAATGTTTTAATTGCAGTAACATTGTTTATACTCTTTTTTTGCCTTTTACAGTTTTTCTCGATTGCTTAAACAGATTTCTTGAAATTGTGACTCCTTTTCTCGAAACTCTAAACACAAATCCATAACATCTCACCCAATTCCCCATAATTCCTATTTTCAGGTCAAAATGAAGCTCTCCACTCAAAACTATTCAATCTTGCTGAAACAAACAAACTTCGGCCTCAGAAACACACACACAACAACTTAGTCTTACACACTAATGAGATCAATCCATTGGCTTCGAAGTGCCGGCGGAAGGAGGAACCCTCGGAGGTTGGTTCCTCGGAGGGGAATTCCTCACCGTCACCGTAAGACCAGTCCGGACGCTGCCAAAATAAAAATCTGTTTAATGGATGTGTTAACTGTTTTGACAATTTAAAATTAGTTTAGAGAAATATGCCTAATTTTATATTTCTGTTTAGGAGTTTTACAGTTTTTCTCAATTACTAACACACTATAACTGATTCGTTTGGCACAATTTTCCAAACCATTCATACAGTTCCTGAAACAAAGACACGTTTCTCACTTTTAACACACTTTTTCAGGGACGTACACTACGAGAAGTGAAGGCAGCAGATGCCCCTGTCTTGCGTGCAGAGATCGCAGTCCTACTGGCGAAGGATGGGATAGAGCCGGTCCCTCCAGCCGATATGAGGATGGGGTTTTTCAGCCCTTACTTCATTGTGCCCAAAAAGTCGGTGGGTTGAGACCAATCTTGGATCTGCGCGTCTTGAATCTATCGTTTTCATTCCAGCTGGTCTTTCTGCTCATGAATTGGTCCGGCACAACTATCTCTGACATGGACTATACTGCCCCCATGTGTCCGAAAAGAGACATGAATTAAATGAATTAATGTTTTAATTGCAGTAACATTGTTTATACTCTTTTTTTGCCTTTTACAGTTTTTCTCGATTGCTTAAACAGATTTCTTGAAATTGTGACTCCTTTTCTCGAAACTCTAAACACAAATCCATAACATCTCACCCAATTCCCCATAATTCCTATTTTCAGGTCAAAATGAAGCTCTCCACTCAAAACTATTCAATCTTGCTGAAACAAACAAACTTCGGCCTCAGAAACACACACACAACAACTTAGTCTTACACACTAATGAGATCAATCCATTGGCTTCGAAGTGCCGGCGGAAGGAGGAACCCTCGGAGGTTGGTTCCTCGGAGGGGAATTCCTCACCGTCACCGTAAGACCAGTCCGGACGCTGCCAAAATAAAAATCTGTTTAATGGATGTGTTAACTGTTTTGACAATTTAAAATTAGTTTAGAGAAATATGCCTAATTTTATATTTCTGTTTAGGAGTTTTACAGTTTTTCTCAATTACTAACACACTATAACTGATTCGTTTGGCACAATTTTCCAAACCATTCATACAGTTCCTGAAACAAAGACACGTTTCTCACTTTTAACACACTTTTTCAGGGACGTACACTACGAGAAGTGAAGGCAGCAGATGCCCCTGTCTTGCGTGCAGAGATCGCAGTCCTACTGGCGAAGGATGGGATAGAGCCGGTCCCTCCAGCCGATATGAGGATGGGGTTTTTCAGCCCTTACTTCATTGTGCCCAAAAAGTCGGTGGGTTGAGACCAATCTTGGATCTGCGCGTCTTGAATCGGGCCCTTCACAAGCTCCCGTTCAAGATTCTCACGCAGAAGCGCATCTTCAGGTGCATCCGTCCCCAAGATTGGTTTGCAGCGATCGACCTGAAGGACGCGTACTTCCATGTGTCAATCCTTCCGCGCCACTGGCCATTCCTGTGGTTTGCGTTTGAAGGATATCAGTACAAGGTCCTGCCCTTCGGGCTATCCCTGTCACCCCGTGTC